TTATATATATATATATATATATATATATATATATATATAATTTAAATATAATATACATAATTGTAATTATTAAAAACAAATTACAAAAATATATAAAAAGTCATTTTAATATTGCAAGCATGTAATAATAATATTATAAATTGTGTCTATAATGTTTATATAATAAAAAGTATTTTTTAAATTATGTTTATTATGAAAACATAATAAAACACGTGTCACTCCACAAGACTGTTGAAGTGACCTGCAAAAAAAGCGAAAGTGACTCAGAAACTGTGCTCTGCATTTCCCACATCCAAGCGCACACACTCACACACACTCTCTCACACACTCTCCCAAATGAACACACTCACACACTCATACTCTCCCAAATGAAACAAGATTACTGTTTTTTTCTGTATTTCTGATCAAATAAACACAGCCTTGATGAGCAGAAGAGACGTCTTTCAGAAACATTACAAGTCTAACTGATCCCAAACTTTTGACCGGCAGTGTAATTTAAAATGTGAATTTTTTTATTCAAGTGTATTCAATCTGATTAACTGATCATTTAAAAAAACTATATTTTTGGATTCATTTTGGTCAAACAAATAAAATGTTGCATAACTGGTCCATAATCTTTCCCAGTCCTCACACACATCCAGCTGCTGATCAGGGTCCAGAACTCGACCTGTGACCCGACCGGTCCGAACCGGTTCATCATGGCGTATTGATCGGGCGGCTCACGGTGACCCGGCATGGACCAGCGATCAATACAGCAGATGCTTTCTTATTTTATGAATCTAATAATAATAATAAGAAATGTGCAAATATTGTGGCAGAGCACTTGTACTTGGCTATACATACATACATACAAGTATAACATAAAACTTCTGACATTAAATGAAGCAGCATTGCAGATTTGCAGGTCACTCAGATGTAAGTACGTAAGTGACATTGATTATGTGACAAAAGGTCAGATTTCCTTCAAGCACAAGTCATGTGTTACTCACTTGTGGCCTACAATCAGTCCACAACCTGAACAATTTATCATTTTTATATATTTTTTTATGCTTTAACTTTTCAGTTAGACCCCACAGAATATACACTGAACATATATTCTTATTTATTTAATACATGCATAAATAAATCAATTTCTTCTTAGAATTTTATTTATGAGGTTTTATCTCATAAATATATTTAAAATATATATATATATATAAAATCATTTTTATGTAAGGCACTTTGAATTACCATTGTGTTTAAAATGTGCTATATAAATAAAATGATGCCTTGTTCCTGTGTAGATAATGAAGTTTAAATACTCCATGTATCTGCTGTAGAACTTTATGTAAGTCTATTGATTCTGATAACGTGAGCGTTTGTGTGCTTAAGATATCTGAAGGTGACTACTGGAAGAGCAACAGTGCTGTTTAAAGTGTGAAAGCAGATAAAAAGAGAGTGACAGAGAGAGATACAGATAAAGAGAGGGATAGAGAGAGAGAGAGAGAGAGAGACTCACGGTCTGAAGCTGAGGCTGTAGGGTGGGTTGGTCACCATCATCTGACTGAGCGCTGATACGATGACGAGGATGAGGATGGGCATCAACTGCATGAGAAGAGCAAGACCTCCCTAAACACACACACACACACACACACACACACACACAGACACACACACACAATCATATTAATCAGACATCATAACTCTCCATAAATCTTCAGCACAGTCAGATCTACTCATAAATGTCTGGTTGCTGCCCTCTGCTGTTTCATTCACAAAATACAGCTACAGTCAACAGCATGTGAATCTGCTGCAACTTTTGAAACCATAGTACTTTAAATGAATTTTGTAAATGAAAATTAATTTAACTAATAGAATTTTATAAATACTATAATTTTATATAGTTTTATAATTTCAAATATATATATATATATATATATATTTATTTATTAAAATAATTTATTTTATTATATATTACAAGTTTATATATATATATATATATATATATATATATATATATATTTATACACATTAAAATGTATAAAGTCAATATACAATACATTTATAAAACATTTTATCATATACATTTTTAATTATAAATAAACAACACACTCATACATACACACACACACACACACTCACACACTCTCCCAAATGAACACACTCACACACACACTCTCCCAAATGAACACACTCATACACACACACACACACACTCCCGGAGCAGCGGGCAGTCATTTTTGGGGGTTCAGTTCTTGCTGAAGAGTCATTCACTCCCCAATTCCTGCCGGACCTGAGACTCGAACCCACGACCTTTGGGTTACAAGTCTGACTCTCTAACCATTAGGCCACAACTACATTTTAACCTACTACGGACATTTTCACAGTTACTCCAAAACACACTTTAAAACTCTCCCAAATGAACAGAGATCATGGGTCTGAAGATGTTCCTCACCCCTCTGTGTTCTCCTCTCTCGCCATGATTCTGATTAAAGCGCATCCGTCCATTACTGTACATGTGAACATTACCTGAAAGAAACACATTCACGTCTTTATTCAGAGCCTCAGGAACTCATGGGATCGTGCGTGTGACGTCTGTTCACTTACGGCTCAGTAAAGGCCCTGAAATCCACTGACAGAGACACAGACGCCTGCGACAGTTACTTCACATTAAATCTTCACAGCAAACACAAAACCTGGCTTTCACGAGTCAATAATGCTCGATATGTCCAGGTCATATTTCTTCCCAAAATCTAAAGTTAAAAATATGGAATTATGTTTCTGCTAAGAGAAAATGATAACGTCGTGTTTCACAGAAAAACAAAAACAGTAACGTACGGAAGCTTGTTACTGCCACAGAATGTAGAAATAACTAACTAAATAAATAAAAAAGTAACTTTTCTGAATTGCAAGTTTATAGTCTACATCTTGGAATTCTCAGAATTACAAGAAAAAAATCTGAATTATGAAATATAAACAGAATTGCAAGAACAAAAAAAAACTCACAATTACTTTTATTCCTTTGTGGAAACAAGCTTCTTGTTTTTTTGTCATTTCTTCTCAAAATGAAATCTTTTTATGAAAATGTCACAATGCAAAAAAAAAAGTTAATTATGCAAAACATAATTTCTTTATTTTTCTTTTGATTTTGGGTGAACTTCTGAATGCACAACACAGCCAGTAAATGTTCTTTCATTACCCAAGATGCCCTTCAGCCTCACAAACACACGCTCAGACTCACTAGAAGGGAATCCTCCTCCGAAGAACATGTTGAAGAGATCTTCAGGTGAAATATCGGCCTGGAAGTGTGTGTCGTTGGTCTGGCTGGATCGGGTCGAGCCCAGCTGATCGTACTGACGTCTCTTTTCCACATTAGACAGAACTGCATATGCGTTTCCTATGGCTGCAGCACATAACCACAGTTACACAGCAAATACAGGACACTGTTTATGTCTTTATTACATTTTCAAATGAATCATTCACTTTGCAGATGTTAATGAAGAACGAACACTGTTGCTGCAGACAGACTGTGACGCAGCCAAAGCAAGCGTATAACGGTCTGCCGTACCTTTAAACGCCTCCGTGGCTCCCGGAGCGTGGTTCTTATCAGGGTGAAACTTTAACGCCAGTTTTCTGTAGGCTTTCTTAAGGTCGTCTTCAGAAGCATCTTTCTGCACGCCGAGAATCTCATAGTAGTTCTTGCACTGCTTGATTCTGCCAAGACAAAAAAACACCACAAACTTCTTAAGAACAGGCATTTGGATCAGTGTTGTTATTGTTAACCAAAAGTCTTAAAAATAGTTTTTGTTAAAATAAATGTATTAGATAAAATTTAAAAACTTAAAACTAAAACTACTAAAACTGAAATAAATTAAAGCTGAATAGAAATATAAAAAAAAATAAAAAGACAAAAGCACATTGCTAAATTACTCAAATTTAAATTAAAATGCAATCTTAAAAATAAAAAACTAATTCAAAATATTAATGCATATCATAATAATATATAAATAATACTACAATAACACTGATGTGGGTATTATGAAATAGATACAGTGGGCCTCATTTATCAATCTAACGTAGAAACGAGTGCAGATCTGTGCGCACAAATCAACTTACGACAGAGTTCACGTGTGATTTATGAAACATTCGTATGCCGCAGATCTCATCGTACGAATGATCGTATGTTGATAAATGTGGCGCCAGAAAACAATCGTCATTTGTATCTTTGTTTTTAACTTTAATAGCCTACTTACCTCCCCCTGGCAACTTTTATTTGTTGTCATTTGTCTTTCTAGCTTTTTTATTTTCCTTTCCTTCTTTTTGATATTGTTTCTTAATAAAAAATATTATATGTTTTTGCTCTTTGAATAAAAAAAAAAAAAGAATAGCATACACACATACCACATAGTACACAATAAAATATCAAAATGATAGTTTATGCTTTATTTGGATTTATTTTTAAGAGTGTTATTTAACATTATTGTTTATGAAATTATTTTCAGTTTTATTTACATTTATTTTTACTTCAGTAACATTATAAATGTCTTTACTCTCACTTTTGATCATTTTAATGCATCTTTGATGAACAAAAGTGCACCTTTTCCTTTATTTCCCTTTTTAAATTGTATTTACCCCAAACTTTTGAATGGTAGTGTATCACAGTTTTCATATTAAGCATCACAAATTGTTTTTAACGTTGATAATAAAGCTAATATAGCAATGTGAATACGTGTGTTTCTGATGTGTGTGCTGGTGAAATGAGAGCAAAGGTTTAAATGATCTCACCCAGCATCGTGTCATGTAATATCAATATCATTATCTGGATCGGACCAGTATCTTCTTCATATCAGCTTATCATGAGGTCATATAGTGTGACACATGTAAAGTTCAATAAAATGTTGACAACAACTTTTAACTCCCACACACATTCAAAGATGTTGATGAAAATGACAAATTATGATTTCGAAAAGACAATAATGTATCTCAAAGCACAAAAATACTGCTACAGTTATTAATAATAATAGCTGAGATGATCAGTCTTCAGAGAGCTGAGGAATGTCTCACAAATATGAGAAAATGAGTGACTGTAAACTGATTGCTGTCGCACTGATAGTACAGGTAATAAAACACTGTTGTTTTACAGACTAGCTTATCAACGCAGAGTAATGTATGTATTTATTTACCAGTGCATGAGCTTTTCTTTCATTTCACCACATTCTGGAACACTTTATCACAGCAAAGCAATGATTCACATCATTTAAAGCAATTCATCTTCAGTCAAACTAATAGATTTAAAATATTTAAGAAATAAAAACGATAAAAATAAATAACAACTAAATTAGATAATATTATTTGTTTAAATAAAAATGTGATTTTGTGTTTATATTTAAAATAAAATGTAATTTATATATAATTTAATTTATATAATATAATAATAATAATAAATAAATATTTAATTTAATTTAAAAAAATAATTTAATTTAAAAAATAATTATATATATATATAATATAATTTATTAACAATTTACAAATATAAATATTCTAAATATTCTGGTGCAAAATAAATCAGTGACTCAATTTTGAACTAGCTCGTTTTTATGAACATTCTTAACGAAACGATTCACTAAAATGAAGTAGTTTTTGATTAGATACATTTGATTTTTATTTGTTTGATAACATCCATGCTTGTCCTGAGAATGAATTTTATGTACACGACACGCCCTCAGAAACCAACTCTTTTTATTAAAGGGACAGTCAGTGTAACACAATGCATTACATAAAGTCCCTTAATTAAAAAGAGCTGATTTCCGACACTGTAAAGCAAGGAAACCCCTGAGGTCACTGTAGTTCAGCTGATACATAGATCACTATATGAAGTTCTGTTATCAGTTATCAGTATATCAATGTCTTGCGTTATCAACGATGCAATATAAAGTGATCATCCATGAACAAATAGGAAAATAATGAGTGAAATGTTGAAATAGTGCAAGCCAGCAGGGGCTCGCGGTGATTGGCTGCGGCGGAGAAACTCCTCGGCGGTGGGGTGAGCGCAGCTGCCGTATAAATGCACCGGCTCCGGTTTGGTTTGGTTGTACGGGGATGCTGGAGCGAAGAACGGGAAGGAGAAACATCAGATGAGACTCAGCCAATCCGAACGCTCGCTTTCAGGAGGCATCGACCTATCTAGCCAATCAGAGCGCAGTATTTCAGGCGTTCGCATCACCGGCAGCTGTTTGCGCTTCACGAGTGTTTGTGCTCCTCAGATCCAGACTCGGTGTCGTTCAGTCCGCGGGTCAGCGTGCGCTCAGTCCGCAGCATCAGTCCGGTGAGTGTTACTTTCTAACAAGCGCGGCTGCTTTGATGCGTCACACCGATGTGACCCAGTTTAGCCTCGCTTTGCTTCTGCTGTATCCGCTGCTCTCTTTGGGTGTTACAATAACGGAAGCTTGTGTCGCCAGTGCTCATCATGCCTGACAGGGACATCAAATCTCCAATCTGGCACCCGGAGCCGGAGACAGTGGAGGACGTGTTTGATCACACGTATAAAGAGAAAGCAGGGCCCAAGCCTCCCTCCGTCATAGTGTGGAGAAACGTCTTTCTCATGAGTTTCCTGCACGTCGGAGCTCTGTATGGACTCTTCCTGTTTCCATCCGCCGGTGTTCTCACGTGGATCTGGTGTAAGTATCAAACAACATTCAGGGGCGCGTGTTTAGAGTTTTGAGGGCCCCCAGGGGCCCCCTCGCTGGAAGTCACGTGAGGTCTGGGGTGGGGTGTTAAGAATTGTGCTATAAGAACACATACAAATGCAACAACTTGTTCTAAACTTTACAGCTAGGTCTCATTACTACATTAGTTAACGTGCTCTTATATTCATTTCAACATTTACTGAAGCATTATTAAAATGCATTATTATTAAAATGCTTGTTAACATTAGTCAATGCACCGCGAATTAGCACGAACGACTGTATTTTCATGAACAAATACTGTAACAAATGTATTGTTCATTAACTAATAGAACCTTGTTGTAAAGTGCTCCCAAAATGTAAAAAGCGACAGACGTGTGGATGAGATCTTAAATTAGATTACTGCATTCAAATGTATTCATACTTTTCTATAGGTTGGGGTGGATAATTGTACTATTTGTTTATAATTTGTGCGATAATACTGTAATAGTTTTCATTAGTAAGCATTTCTGTGTGATAAGAACTCTGTCTAGTGCTCTTAGGAATGTTTTAGCATGACTTTATGAAAGTTTAACTACTAAAACTGAATGAAACGGACGGTGTCTACATATTTTGCATTCTAGTTATTATTTAGTTAGTACTAGTACTAGTACTGGTTATTATGACAGCATTGATACTATTTCTTACAGATAATATCATTGTGTTTTCTTACCGAATGTAGTTTTAAAAAAAAATGACTGTCAGTTTAAGTGACCGCAACGATGCAGTGTTGCCAGGTATTGTTACAGTAACAAACAAAAGCCGGACCCCAAAAATGAAATAAGTTCTAATCTTTTGTTGGGTATTAAGATAAAGATATCGCTAACCCTAAACTGCAACTTCCCACTTTATTAACTTCCTAAAAGGTCACATTATTTTGGAAAAAAACAAGCCCAAAGACGCTTATAATAACTGGAACTGGCAACACAGACACTGAACAATCTAGGCCAGGGTTCCTCAAATCTTGCCCTGGAGGGCCAATGCAGTGCAGAGCTTAGCTCCAACCCTGATCAAACTCGCCTACCTGTGATTGTCTAATGATCCTGAACACGTTGATTAGCATGCTCGGGTGTGTTTGATTAGGGTTAGAGCTAAACTCTGCAGGAAAGCGGATCTCGCGGGCCAGATTTGAGGATCCCTGATCTAGGCAAACCGTCTAAATTTAATTATACATGCCGACACTCATCAGAGGACTTTTAAACAGCTAATTAGAAAGATTGCATGGTGCCTAAACGCGCTACTGACAATATTTTACCATCAAACCCATATAAATCATGCAAAAATGATCATTTGGTCATCGTTTACTCCTCATGCTCGCTCCATTCTAACATGGAACACAGAAGGAGATGTTTAGCAGAATGTTCCCAGACTTTTCCAAACAATGCAGCTGAGTGGAGACCAGGGCCATCAAGCTCCATATGAAGCCTTCTGAAGGCGTACACTAGCTCTGTGTTACTTACATTTAAATTTTATTTCTGCAATCTCATTTTGAGATGTTCTAATGCACACAATTAGTGCCGATGACAGGCAAGAGCTCATTACATTTGTGCAAAGTGACTGACAGATTTTCACTCACTCTATTCGTTTTAAAAATCCGATTGGCTAGTAGTGAAACTTCAGTGCAAATAGAATAGATAGCTGACCTCAATATGACAAAAACTACCACTTCTGGCATTTTACTTGCCCAATTCTATTCGAGATCATCTAATGTCCCTAGTGATCAGATGCACAAGTTTGCGTATCATATTTGCTTAAGAATGCATTTAAAATGAGTTAAATGATGCATGGAGTCCATGTACGTGCATTCAAAGCTGAAGTTGTGCTTTGTGTGTCTAAGTGATTTCCAGCCGTGTATAACAGATGGCGTATGTTTGTGTTTTTCAGTTTTTGCGTGTTTGTTGTTCAGTGCTCTGGGCATCACCGCCGGCGCTCACAGACTCTGGAGTCACAGATCATATAAAGCATCATTACCTCTCCGGATCTTTCTCGCCTTCGCAAACTCTATGGCCTTCCAGGTAACACACTCATCTGAAGGAATTCTCAGCCAGTATAGAGTTTGTCAAGAGTTCAGACTCATCTCGGTCTTTATTCTGACTGTTTTCTACACGTATGAATAAAAGTAGAGTGATGCAAACTCTGAAATCACACAGATGAGCGTCAAAACGCAACACTAATGAAATCTCTTATATTTGAGAAACATCTTAAATCCAAGAATTTTAGATCAGAAGATTATGAGAAGCATTGTAGCAATGCTATACTATTATAATTGTTATATTTTGAATTAGATTTTATTTTTGTCATTTTTAATCGTTTTTTCTCTATTTATTAATTTACTTGGTTGTAGTTATTTTAGTAGCTTAAACTAAACAAAAATGAGAAATGTGTCCTTGACACTAGCTAAAATAATTTCAGTTAATGTTCATTTTGTCTCAAGTAAGGAATGTTTTTCTTGGTTTTAGCAAATTATAACAACCCATTTGACTGCTAGTGAAAGTGTAGAAGCTGTAAAAAGTGGTTAATCCCTTTCTATGAAGTTTATTATTTATGTATTTGATTGTCATTTCCATCTATTCACTGATTCATGCAAAAAAACTTTGTTAGGCATTAGGTTGGAAGATTTTTATGCAAGTCACTAAATAAAAATAAAAAAGGTAATTGCAACTTTTTATCTCGCAATTCTGACTTTTTTCTCTGGATTGTGTGATACAAAGTCAGAATTGTGAGAAACTTGCAATTGTAAGATCACTAAATAAAAATAAAAAAGGTAATTGCAACTTTTTATCTCGCAATTCTGACTTTTTTTCTCTGGATTGTGTGATACAAAGTCAGAATTGTGAGAAACTTGCAATTGTAAGAAAATAGTCTTTTTTGTTTTTCCTCAGGATTGGACTTTATAACTGCTTCTTTCTCAGAAAAGAAGTCAGAATTGCTTTTTATTTTTTATTTTGTGGCAGAAACGGGCTTCCATAGATAATGTACTGTAGTGTGTTTGTGTGCTACTAGTGGCACAAAGCAGAATCGCAGTGGTTTTTTGTGTAGAAATGGCACACTTCTCCTGCTCTCTCTGTAGAATGACATCTACGAATGGTCTCGAGATCACCGCGTTCACCACAAATACTCCGAGACGGACGCCGACCCTCACAACGCTGTGCGAGGCTTTTTCTTCTCTCACATCGGCTGGCTGCTGGTCCGCAAGCATCCGGACGTCATTGAGAAGGGACGCAAGCTGGAGCTCAGCGACCTGAAGGCCGATAAAGTCGTCATGTTCCAGAGGAGGTAAGTCTGAGATCACTTTGTGTGTCAGTCAGACTGGCGGTGTGTGGCCAGAGTAAACCGTGTAACTGGGTCTGATTGAACTGTGTCAGGTTCTACAAGTCGTCTGTGCTGCTGATGTGCTTCTCCGTGCCGACGCTCGTGCCGTGGTTGGTGTGGGGCGAGTCTCTGTGGGTGGCGTATTTCGTCCCTGCTCTCCTCAGATACGCAGTTGTGCTCAACGCCACCTGGCTGGTTAACAGCGCCGCGCACATGTGGGGAAACCGGCCCTACGACGGCAGCATCAACCCCCGGGAGAACAGATTCGTGGCCTTCAGCGCTATAGGTACGTCTGATATACTCCACATGAGAGCAGCGAGGGACAAATGAGGCTTTTTCAGCTTCATCATTGTTTTCAGTAAGAGCTGGTGACGAGACCAAGTTGAGCAGAGTTTAACAAAAACAAGGAAAAAAATATTCAAGGAGCTGAAACATATTTTTGGGACAGTTAAGCACACTTAACCTTGAGTTTGCAGTAATGCAAAACATTTTTATTGTAAAAAATATATATAGCTGAATCACTACCTGCAATATTGAAAAATACAAAAGAAAAATTAGAATAAAATGTTAACAGTAATGAAATTTAGTTTGGAGTAAAATGTCCTTAATGCTCAATTTTCATTATGAAAAATACATTTTTTACAAAAAAAAGTGCATATATATATATATATATATATACGTGTGTGTGTATATGCACACACTACAAATTATATTCCCATTTTATATATAATATAAATATAATTTCTAATATTTTGTAGAAATATATAAATGATTATATATTCACTAAATATTAGAAATGATTTGTCTATTATATTTAGAATATATATTTTTGATGTATAGAAAAGTATGAATTTATATTTAATGATATCAATTTTGTAATTTTGGAGGAAAATGTGCTTAATTGTCATGAAAATCTATCATGGAAAAGTAAAATAAATAAACGCTTAATTGTCATTATGACAAAATATAATTTATTCCATCATTCTATATACAAGAAATACATAATTATATTTTTGCCAAATATTGGAAATTAATTTTCTGTTATATTTAGAGTATTGTTTTGCTATATAATAATATATATAAAAACCATTCAAAATAATTTCTTATCGTTTGCATTTGCTTAGATTGTGTATTGATGAATCACCTCCTGGTTTAATTTCTCAGGCGAAGGCTTTCATAACTACCACCACACGTTTCCCTTCGACTACGCCACCAGCGAGTTCGGCTGCAAACTCAACCTGACCACCTGCTTCATTGACTTCATGTGTTTCCTGGGTCTGGCCCGAGAGCCCAAGCTGGTGTCCAGAGAGGCCGTGCTCGCTCGAGCTCAGCGCACCGGAGACGGCAGCCACCGGAGCGGCTAACGAGTGCCGTCCGTCCTAACGAACTGCACACATGAAAACAGAAGGACGTCTGCTCTTCCGGTGCTGCTTCATGTCAGATGACAAATGTTGTGTTTCCCAGTCTAGCCTGTGAAGCTTTAATACGGGGATCTGACCTGTTTGTGTAGCGCTTATTCCGATCTTCTTCCTCTTCTCGACAGCAGCTGTAGATATTTTTGAGTCCAGTCTTGTAGCTGATTTGCCAGTTTACTCAAAACCTGTTGCCCTCCCGGTCCTTTTATGTGCGCGTCTTACCAAATCTAGCTGTGCAGTTTGGTAGAAATGAACTAAGATGCACATCTATCTATTTAATATTCAACAGATGCACCTTACTGCATCTGGACTAAATAGAGATCAGATGCAGACGTAGTTCATAATTTAATATTGCCAATCTATTTCGTTGCCGTACTTGCACAAATGGTTCAATTGCCTGAATTCTTAGGAATCTGTATTGAAGATTCGTGATTATATTTTTTGACCACAGCACAAATACGACAGACAAAGTCTTTTTGTTACCACCGATTGAGATCAATTTAATGTCTAATCTGTAAACGCACTTATTTGAGTAACATTGACTTACAATTAACAGTAATTTCGAGGACACCGACGACGACGACGACAGAGAAGGAATCTGTCGCTGGATTGAATGGTTGAGGTTGCGTGAGAATGACGGCGTGTATTGATTCCTCATTATTAGGTACTGTAGAATGTATAGTTTGGTTTTGTATTGTAATTAATCGTGCAACACCATACTTCTCTTTTGAGTCCCGCTTTAACGTTTTCATCTTCTAAATACGTCTGTAGCGTGAGCATGCTGTGTTAATACAGACCTCTTTTCTATGGCAAAATAATACAGACGGACGAATCTGTGCATTCACAGTAATTATAATAACTCATGTGTGTTATGATGCCAAAAGCCATTGTGTTGCATGCAATCCGAATTGGTGCAAACGGAGGTTTTTGCTCTAGTTCACCTGTATGTTTAATCAAACATAATGTATTTTCAGAGAGTTCTCAGTGCTATTTTTCCATTTTTGGATTTCATTTCACAAGTTGCTTGTAATTAAATTGTTTGGTAACTTTAAAAAGCATTCGGATTGCAGTTCTTTGAAGACTTTATACTGTATTTTGACTCCCGTGCCTCTCACCCAGGACAGATCGCCTTATTTTTACTCTTGACGCTTGTGACTCAAGATGCCAAAAATGCGGTTGTGATATTTCTCATGCTGCTTTGAAGAGAAGCCTTTGACTCTTAAAACTAAAGTGATGCTCCTGTTTGCGGTAGTCAGTAGACACTTGTTTAATAATCATTTACTGGAAATAAAGTCTCAAGCACAGAGCTTCTGCACTTTCTGACACGTGTCTGAGTTCTGCACTTCATTTCTGCCACTTTTCTCTGTTTTGTGACATTTTGAAATAATTGTAGCAGTTCTCCTAGAATCTTTTGAACTTGTATCACAGTTTGTATCATGCAATTCTGAGAAAAAAGGTTGCTAGATCTACAGCCCTGATCTGAGAGTCTTCCTGCTGTTTTTTGCACAGCTCGTAAGCACGCACTTCATGTCTGTGCTTGTGTCTGATTCTCTCTGGCAGTTTCTGGCAGTGATGGCATGCATCCAGACTGCTGAATCAGCACTAGTTTCAGTCACTCACAGCAGAGACACGGATTCGTTTTAATCAGACTGATATAACAACTATTGCACAGGTTTTGCATGCATGCAGTTAGACAGAGGAAACAAAGGCTACACTAATTAATGCAATTACTAAACATGAAGTACTTCAGTGTCATTAGGCCTCCAGATAGTGAGACACACACAGAGCCAGAACCACAGTGTTATTATCGGCCACTGGGGCGTTGCGTCATCACGGCGGAAGGTTACAAGGGTTCACAACATCTCGGGAATGTCAACAGCAGATCAGCGGCAGCCAATCAGCAGCGCCGTATGACCCCGCCGGACCAATCAGCGAGCGCCTCTGATGAAATCGTACAGCGGCGCCAAAATGAGACACTAATGGTTGCGGTTTCACAGAGCCACATTGATTTAGAGCTTCTCGTGTGGAAACTCAGCCGGTGCGTATCGCGTGATGATAAACCCACCGGGGAAATCCGTAGTCAACTAGTAAAAGTAGTTAACCATGAATGAAAGTGCAGTTTCCCCCCCGTTTTTGTCAAAATGCCACATGCAAGCGCAAATATTACTACTGAATTTGATGCATTCATATTTATGTTCATGAATATATAGATATATATTGCAAGATATATTAATAACAGTATATATATATATATATATATATATATATATATATATATATAAAATAAAAAAGATGGTCGGGTCATAATTCACGTAATAAAATTGTAGATTTCACAATGGTATTTCCATGGAGTGAAATGCATCTTGTTTTTAGGTTGATAAGTTTTAGGTTCTCGCCCTCTACAGGATCAACTCAAAATCAAAACCCTAAGAACCCTTTTTTGATGTATAGAAAAGTATGAATTTATATTTAATGATATCAATTTTGTAATTTTGGAGGAAAATGTGCTTAATTGTCATGAAAATCTATCATGGAAAAGTAAAATAAATAAACGCTTAATTGTCATTATGACAAAATATAATTTATTCCATCATTCTATATACAAGAAATACATAATTATATTTTTGCCAAATATTGGAAATTAATTTTCTGTTATATTTAGAGTATTGTTTTGCTATATAATAATATATATAAAAACCATTCAAAATAATTTCTTATCGTTTGCATTTGCTTAGATTGTGTATTGATGAATCACCTCCTGGTTTAATTTCTCAGGCGAAGGCTTTCATAACTACCACCACACGTTTCCCTTCGACTACGCCACCAGCGAGTTCGGCTGCAAACTCAACCTGACCACCTGCTTCATTGACTTCATGTGTTTCCTGGGTCTGGCCCGAGAGCCCAAGCTGGTGTCCAGAGAGGCCGTGCTCGCTCGAGCTCAGCGCACCGGAGACGGCAGCCACCGGAGCGGCTAACGAGTGCCGTCCGTCCTAACGAACTGCACACATGAAAACAGAAGGACGTCTGCTCTTCCGGTGCTGCTTCATGTCAGATGACAAATGTTGTGTTTCCCAGTCTAGCCTGTGAAGCTTTAATACGGGGATCTGACCTGTTTGTGTAGCGCTTATTCCGATCTTCTTCCTCTTCTCGACAGCAGCTGTAGATATTTTTGAGTCCAGTCTTGTAGCTGATTTGCCAGTTTACTCAAAACCTGTTGCCCTCCCGGTCCTTTTATGTGCGCGTCTTACCAAATCTAGCTGTGCAGTTTGGTAGAAATGAACTAAGATGCACATCTATCTATTTAATATTCAACAGATGCACCTTACTGCATCTGGACTAAATAGAGATCAGATGCAGACGTAGTTCATAATTTAATATTGCCAATCTATTTCGTTGCCGTACTTGCACAAATGGTTCAATTGCCTGAATTCTTAGGAATCTGTATTGAAGATTCGTGATTATATTTTTTGACCACAGCACAAATACGACAGACAAAGTCTTTTTGTTACCACCGATTGAGATCAATTTAATGTCTAATCTGTAAACGCACTTATTTGAGTAACATTGACTTACAATTAACAGTAATTTCGAGGACACCGACGACGACAGAGAAGGAATCTGTCGCTGGATTGAATGGTTGAGGTTGCGTGAGAATGACGGCGTGTATTGATTCCTCATTATTAGGTACTGTAGAATGTATAGTTTGGTTTTGTATTGTAATTAATCGTGCAACACCATACTTCTCTTTTGAGTCCCGCTTTAACGTTTTCATCTTCTAAATACATCTGTAGCGTGAGCATGCTGTGTTAATACAGACCTCTTTTCTATGGCAAAATAATACAGACGGACGAATCTGTGCATTCACAGTAATTATAATAACTCATGTGTGTTATGATGCCAAAAGCCATTGTGTTGCATGCAATCCGAATTGGTGCAAACGGAGGTTTTTGCTCTAGTTCACCTGTATGTTTAATCAAACATAATGTATTTTCAGAGAGTTCTCAGTGCTATTTTTCCATTTTTGGATTTCATTTCACAAGTTGCTTGTAATTAAATTGTTTGGTAACTTTAAAAAGCATTCGGATTGCAGTTCTTTGAAGACTTTATACTGTATTTTGACTCCCGTGCCTCTCACCCAGGACAGATCGCCTTATTTTTACTCTTGACGCTTGTGACTCAAGATGCCAAAAATGCGGTTGTGATATTTCTCATGCTGCTTTGAAGAGAAGCCTTTGACTCTTAAAACTAAAGTGATGCTCCTGTTTGCGGTAGTCAGTAGACACTTGTTTAATAATCATTTACTGGAAATAAAGTCTCAAGCACAGAGCTTCTGCACTTTCTGACACGTGTCTGAGTTCTGCACTTCATTTCTGCCACTTTTCTCTGTTTTGTGACATTTTGAAATAATTGTAGCAGTTCTCCTAGAATCTTTTGAACTTGTATCACAGTTTGTATCATGCAATTCTGAGAAAAAAGGTTGCTAGATCTACAGCCCTGATCTGAGAGTCTTCCTGCTGTTTTTTGCACAGCTCGTAAGCACGCACTTCATGTCTGTGCTTGTGTCTGATTCTCTCTGGCAGTTTCTGGCAGTGATGGCATGCATCCAGACTGCTGAATCAGCACTAGTTTCAGTCACTCACAGCAGAGACACGGATTCGTTTTAATCAGACTGATATAACAACTATTGCACAGGTTTTGCATGCATGCAGTTAGACAGAGGAAACAAAGGCTACACTAATTAATGCAATTACTAAACATGAAGTACTTCAGTGTCATTAGGCCTCCAGATAGTGAGACACACACAGAGCCAGAACCACAGTGTTATTATCGGCCACTGCGGCGTTGCGTCATCACGGCGGAAGGTTACAAGGGTTCACAACATCTCGGGAATGTCAACAGCAGATCAGCGGCAGCCAATCAGCAGCGCCGTATGACCCCGCCGGACCAATCAGCGAGCGCCTCTGATGAAATCGTACAGCGGCGCCAAAATGAGACACTAATGGTTGCGGTTTCACAGAGCCACATTGATTTAGAGCTTCTCGTGTGGAAACTCAGCCGGTGCGTATCGCGTGATGATAAACCCACCGGGGAAATCCGTAGTCAACTAGTAAAAGTAGTTAACCATGAATGAAAGTGCAGTTTCCCCCCCGTTTTTGTCAAAATGCCACATGCAAGCGCAAATATTACTACTGAATTTGATGCATTCATATTTATGTTCATGAATATATAGATATATATTGCAAGATATATTAATAACAGTATATATATATATATATATATATATATATATATATAAAATAAAAAAGATGGTCGGGTCATAATTCACGTAATAAAATTGTAGATTTCACAATGGTATTTCCATGGAGTGAAATGCATCTTGTTTTTAGGTTGATAAGTTTTAGGTTCTCGCCCTCTACAGGATCAACTCAAAATCAAAACCCTAAAAACCCTCGTGTTCTGATGAGACTGTCTCCACTGACACCATGCACAAAATGTTGCATTTCCCCTTCAGCATCTTTTATGTTCCTCCAAACCTGCAGCAGATCAAGGTCTTGAGGTTCATTAAAATTACAAACCACATAAATCAGTTAAGTTCCAACACAAAAACAATTATTCTGAAGAACTATATTGTTTTTATCATCCTTTAATTGCTTGATATGCCCCTTAACAAAACCAATGTACAGAAATAGCTGACACACTGAGCATTTATGAATGTTGTGCATATTTTTCTTCAAGAGTTTGACGCACGGCCTCAGAATGAACTGCTTTCATGATGCACACAGACACAGAACTGCACGATTCATCACCAGAACATAAACACATTTATGTTTCGGTGCTCTGTTAAAGTACTGAAGAATCTCACAAAAACGGTCCAGGTCATATTTCACCTCAAAAATCCAGAGAAATTACATTTTGAATAAAAGTGCATTTTAGGACCATTAATGATTTAACAGAGTTGGCATTTAAAAAACTTTTATTCATTGATTTTGTGGTGAAATAAGAGCTGGACACTTCTCTCCAGGTTGCATCACACTCGCTTCAGCCCGAAGTCTTGCAGAATTCAGTGGCATT